TATTTTTATTTTTTGTAGACTCAAAATTAACATAAATTTGTAGTTTTAAAGTGTCTGATTATATTAGATATTTCTCTTTATTTGCTTTAGAGTCATGGACCCTGCTACCTGTCCTTCCATTCAATTTTTCATGCCATTCCCACTGTGATCTTCACGCAAAACCATCATCTCCGTTCCCTTCTTTTCTGCAGAAGTGGATGTTTGACTGCAGAAAACTCCACTTTTTTGAAATATTTCTCTATAGCGGATTAAATCTAATGTCCAGTTTGACCCAAACTTATAGGTTCCCAAGAAATCAGAACAAGTTGCCATTCACGTATGCCACTAAATCCATTCTTCTAATTCCTTCAACATTTAACAAATAGTTACTGAGCACCTATTTTGCACAAGCATTGAAACTGGTCCTCTGCCAAATGTGAAGTTGTATCAACAAAGATGTGTGCATTAATATAAATACAGATTTAATGCTAACTCAATACCAGGCACTGCTCCAAGCACTTGACATGTATTAATCTATTGAGCCCTGCCCAAGGGAGTGGGTACCATTGTCATATCCATTTTATAGATGGGGAAACAGACCAGAAAAGTTAAGTGAGCTTCTAGAACCCAAACCCTTAACCAAGGCACCAATAATTTATCCAGTCATGGTGGGGGACCCATGTTAAAAAATGTTTCTCCCAAACTATGGCCCTTAAAATCTGACCAACTCCCAGAGCCTGCAGATGCCCTAAAATAGTAAGTACCAACCCAGGCGACTCATATACAACATCAGAAAACATTTGTACCTAACCTAATGGGTCTCCTCCCAGCTCAGGACACTGAAGCATGCCCCCTGGAGGCCCTCAGCACACTCCGGGACACACATGCTGACCTACACATTCCTGCAGAGTCACATCTTAACCCAAATCTTATCACAACCCTGCCAAAGGCCAGGCACTATCAAGAAAATGTTCACCCTTCTTCCTGTTAGGCCCCATGTGTGAACACTGATAACAGATCTAAATTCGAAGAAAATCAACAGAAGTCATCTCAGTCAACCTGAAAAGTGTAGTGACTCATTCACACCCTTTCACAGGGCTCCTACTGGGCGGCCCTGGTTCCCCGGAGCAAGCCTCCAGGCATCCTGCAGCCGGGGCACAGCACGAGGACCCGAGGAGCCTTGACTTCCTTGTGCTCAGCATCTGAGTTGCTCAGCAAGCTGCCCCTGTTCTGTGCTGCCCATGACCCCCCTGCTTATGTCCCCAGGGCAGGCTAAACAAGGTTGCCTTGGAAAAAAGAACAGAGGAGATGCTGACTTTTCAGCCCCAAGAGTAAATTCCATCACTATGGAGCTAAAATCATAACATCTAAATTTGACTCGACTGGTGTCTGCTCTTATAAATACACACACACATGTGGATGCTTAAACCATGTGTGCGGACTGCCAACAACAAAACAAAACACAACATCTCATTAGAAAGACGAGCTGGTAGACCAACTCGCTAGAACAAAGAAAAGCAGGTACTCCAATTTCACCAAACACACACACACACACACACACACACACACACACACACACACATTGGTGTAGTGAAGCCCATGAGAAAACTAGTTGCCCTGGCAATGAAGGACAGTTTACGTGCTCAAGGATTTTCTTGTTCAAATTTAAAGGAGCCACAGGAACTTACTGAGCTTCCGTGGGCTAAGTTTTAGGTCTCCGTCCTGAGACGATGGTCCGTCTGGCTTCTATTTCAGCCTCTAGTAAAGCCGTAAGCAGAGTAGGTAAAAGCAACAGCTCGGGGGCCAGGCGGCCCTGGCTGGAGCGTCAGCACCACCATTTCCCAGCTGTGCCGCCCAGGTGAGTTACTTACCTCCATCTCCTCACCTGTAAAATGGGAGAAATACATCCAAAAAATGGACCTGCCTGGGTTGATTGTGAGGATCTGGTGAAATAACACATGGTAAAACATTTGGAACGATGCCTGGTTCTGAGCAAGCCTTCCATAACATGTGAGTTATTTGCAACAATAACTTGAAATGACTTCCCCGCATCCCACCTGAAACTGACTTCTTTGTTTTTACCGTATGTCTCCCAGCACTGTAATCCCATTTTGTCTCCTTTTGTGTGCATGCAGAGGGAGGATGTTTAGCTGTCCTTGGAATACAATCTCTCCTTTCATTAAGAACCATTATTAAGTCTCTTTAAGTTTCTCTCCTGCAGTAAATGATCCAGATGACTTAATCGTTCTGCTTTACATGCTTTAATCATTTATTTGAACTTCTCAACCATCCAGATTTAGTACACACAGAAATATCATCTAGGAAAAGTTGGTTTCAAAATTCCTTATCATCTGCAGCCCATGAGCTCAAATGTTTAAAATCCATTGTTTGTAAGAGCAAACTAAAGGTCTTTACCGTATTAGTCAGTTGGTTTTCCTCTGTCACATTGCCACAGTCACCTCATTCTCATCTGCATAGCTCAGCACAAGCCAAAACAGAAGAGACGGAAGGTCATTCGTTCATTCATCAAATGTTTATCGAGGGCCCACTATGTGCCAGGCACTGTGCTGTGCTATAAAATTACAAACGAGACCCTCTCTACTTGGAGAAATTTACAGCTTAGGAGGGAAGATACAGAAGTAAACAAATCATTGCAAAAATCTTCCATTAAATGATGTAGTTGACTGAGAAAGTGCCAGGATACCCTTGGGGCAGAAGGGAGGGAGAACTCAGCTCTACTTGGTGGGTCTGGAAAGGTTACACAGAGAAAGTGACTTTGGAGCCACGTTATTGAGTGGCAAGGATTGGAAAAAGGAGGAGGAGAGTCTTTGGGGAAGATGGAACACCTAGGAACAATCTGAACGTCATGTCACCCGGGAACCTTCCTTGGTGCTATTATGACTGGGGCCTGGGGTCTAGGAAAAAGACAGAGACACAAGGCTGCCCACCCTTTGGAAAGTCAGTAGGGAATGTCAAAGTCACGTGTAAAGAGTAATCTATGTATTCTTTACTAGTTATTTTTTAAAATACCTCTTAATATATGTGACATATATGAGCTAAGATAATATTCATGGAGGAGTCTTCGTTTTTAATTTTCTAGAAATTAATTTTCCAAGTACAATAAAATGGTAGCATTATTTCCATTATTTATGCCTGGCACAGTATGTGTCTACTTACTTGTTTACTTATTATCTGACCCCCCACCCCCGGCCAGAAGACAATCTCCACAAGGTTAGGGACTTTGCCTCTTTTGTTCACATCTGCTTCCCCAGCACCTAAAACAGTGTTTGATTCATGAAAGGTACTCAATAAATATTTGTGGAGTAAATGAATGAATTTCCATGTGGGTAAAAAGAAACAATCATATCCTTTACTAATGAGGAAAGAGAGACCCTGGGACTTAAAACGGTTTTTCATGAACAGATCCAATTTGCAAAACTGGAACTGAAGTTTAAAAGCTATTTTTCTTTCTGAAGCTCTGCTTCTGGGAAAATCACAGCTGCCAGCTTAGATGGTGGTTTTAACTGCCCAGTTACAAATTCTGCACAGTTGTACATATTGGCAGAGCTCAGCTTCCTTAAATGCTCTTGGATCACTAAGGAAATGGTGATTTTCCTTATTGATTTAACGCCATTTCTTCTTTTGTGAAAAATCCCATGCGCTGCTCAATGGAACACGTACAATAAAAACCAAACATTGGGGGCCAAAAATTAAGTAAGTCTCTCGTGTTCCTCTTCAGTCGTGTGATGCTAAACCATTTCTACTTTCAAGCTGGAGGGTTCGACCGTTTTCCCTTTTAAATTTAGCAGAGTGATTATTCCTCCTGATGGATTGCATATATGCGCCTTTTGATCTGTGAAATAGCTCGTTCCTGGGTGAACTTTAAGCTCTGAAGGAATGCCTGGAAAATACTGTTTACGAATCCTAGCAGAAATGTTTCACATTCTCTTTACTCCAAAATGGTGGCAGCAAACCACTCTCTCCAAGATTTTTCAAGAAGAGGGAAAAAGAACTTCGGGCCGCAGCACTGTGGTAACAAAATGATGATCATCCCTCCCACGGATTTTACTCAATGGTCTCCTAGAAGCTATAGTGTAGGAAAGCCGTCATCAGCAATTATTTATCACGAGCAGGATACTGAGCTAGGTCCATAGACTACAAAGAGGGAGGAGGCTTGGTTCCTACCCTCTGGAGCTGACAAATTAGCTGGCGAAGTAAGACACAAACCGCCAAGTGAAATTCACGGTCACTAATGGACAACATAGTGTCACACAGGATTCCCAAGAGTCCAGAGATAACTAGACAGCGCCTCTAGAGGAGATCGTCTTGAATTTGAGTTGGACCTTTAGTGGGGGTCTGGAGGAAGGAAAAGCAGGAGGCAGGAGGGTGGGAGACAGGCACATCAACAGGCAATTATAAGGCACTTCCATGCCTTGTAGATGGTGTCACGTAGGCCATGCATGGACGCCATTGCCGGGGGCCCCACCTGGCTGAGGTGAAGGTTGTAGCAGGTAGGGTACAGGACAGATTGGGGATGGCCTCGGATGTCACTCTCAGAACTTAGTGCTTGATTCTATAAGGAAAGAGGAGTCATCAAGCTTTTGAGCAGAAAGGATATAAGCTAAGCGGTGCTGCAGAGAAATGTAATCAAGCGGGGATCCGTGCTGTGCATTTAATTGGGGGTTCTTCAGAATTGAGATAATGAGACCCTGACCTAGGCTGGGGACAGTAAGATTATCTGCATCACACGGTACATTCCTGTGCATGCTTCTTAAGGATTTCTGCTGCATCGCACTCAGTATGCCTGCCTATCTCTGTCCTGTAAGACAGCGATGCTGTGATACTGCGTGCTGCTCAGAGGTGGCCTCATTCCTTCAGAGCCCCACGGTTTGCACAGGGAACAGGCCCAGGTGTGGTCTCTGCGCAAACCTCAGAGCCCACAAAGTCCACATCCTCAGTTTACTCATACAGAAGCCAGCTCATGAGTGACGGGTGTGGGACATGACGGGATCTCCTTACTGCACTTCAGCAATGCTTCCAAAGCAGGTCCAAAGTCTGCTTTGGGGTGTGTGTGTGTGTGTGTGTGTCCACATTCTGGCACCATCCAGAGGAATTTGGGTCCTACCTGAAGTTGAAGCTCCTTTCTTTACTCCACCCAGACCCCTTCCCTCCAGATCCTGCCTGGGCTCTACTTTATTTTTGTCAACTCCTAGCCTCGGCGCTTTCCCAAAACGCCCTCCAGCTTCTAGCCCTCTGCTCACACCCTGCTCTTTCTCGTGTCCTGTCCTTGACTGTGCCACCCCTTTTGGAGCGCTTTACAGCCCCAGCTTAAGTCTCACCACCTTCAGGACACCCCTCCACAGACACCACCGTCTCAGCCCCTGCCCTAGGTAGACCAAGGTCTCTCTCCTGAGAGCTCCACGCTACCTTGCCCGGGGCGCTCTTGCCGTGCCCCCGTGGTGTCTTACAATTGCCTGTTTACCTGCCGGACTCCCACCTTCCACCGTGAGCTCCCTGCGGCCAGGGACTGTGGGTACCCGTCACTGAACACCCAGCATCTAGCACGTACTAAGGCACGTACTGGCACTTACTAGGCGTTCCAATGCCTGATGAATGAATGAATGAATGACATTCGCCTTGCTGGTGCATTCATTCATTTAATAAACATTTAGGAAGCAATTGCTTACGATCGGCACTGTGGTCGTCAACATTTAAATGTCAAAATATACGACGGCACTCAAGTTCCAAATGATGTGTGCGTAAATTATGCATGTGGAATGAACATGCACACACAGCAAAGACTGCCTCCCTAGCTACAAATACCAAAGCTAGCAAATGCAGTAAACTGTGTACCAGATGTCCCTGAAATTGACAAAGAACCGAGAACCAAAAATGACAGTTAGCTCCATAAGGCCTGTAGAAGAAAAACGAAAAGAGTAAAAGAACAAAAGAACCTCCAGCAGAAGGAAGTGGCTATGGTTTTCTTCTATGCACTAGAGCTGGGGGTGGGGAGGATTTCTACAAGCATTCTATGCTGGGCAGGTTCATGTAAGCCTGAGTTCCTCAAGGGTTGGCTCTTAGGAGCTGTTAGGAAAATTCATTGCCATGCACGAGTCAGGGGACTGTTTTTTATTCCACCGGAAATTGTTAATGGGGACTGCATTAGTGGCCCCTTATTGTTCTGCCTGATGGAGAGACAGCAGGTTCACCCAAGCAGTTCTGGAACCCTGATCGCTGCCAATTAGGGGAGTATTGTCTGGCTGACATAATCAAGTGAGTATAAATATATTTATTGTGATTGGAAGGGGGAAGGGAGACAGCGGAAAGATTGAGGCAGAAGCTGCCACCCCTTGCCTGGCTCCAGCCTGGATCAAACTGAGCATTTCTGTCACCACGTGCTCTCAGTGAAAGTGGTCACTGGCTTCCTGAGGCGGAATTCACAGTCGAGAATTCAGGACTAACTAGAATTGTTTTTCCCAGAAGGGGCCCTGTCTCTCCTTATTTTTTGCTCCTCCCTCCTTCCCCTTTTTTCATGTTCACTTCTGTGGAAGCTGAATAGAGAAGAGAAACCAGATGCTGCGTTGATCACATTTTAATTCTGCCCTGTCTGCCATGCTACCCCCACTTAGCTTATCCACAGTTCAAAGCGATCGCAGACAGAACTCACTCCCCTCTCTGCCTCCCTGACGTACGAGTCTGTCTGGCACGGGGTTTATTTCATTGTCGACCGTGGAACTTTTGTAGGAATATCTGTCATGTGTCTCAGAGCTGGGGTTGAAAGACCCTGATAAAAATAGTTTCCTGCAGCGGACTGATATGGGAGGGATTTCTCACATCTAAACGGCTAAAAAAAGGAGGCACGTTTAGTCACATCTGGTGACATTCTCGTCTGACTGGAGAGCAGGGTCTGTGTAAGCATCTGCACAGATTTAAAAATGCAGGCCGTATCCCCAAACAAATGGCTTGGTCGGATACAAATGGCCGAAACACATTGTCATGGGGAAGGTCAACAAAAGCACCGATCCCTGGGCTGAATTTCAATTCTGGTCAACGCAGGGCCAGTCCGTCCAACCCATGACTTTTGTTCTCTCATCCTTGACTATCGGATAACAGCATTTATAGAGCCGACTTGATTTCAGCTCTTTTCCTCCACACTTGACCTGTGAGTGCTGCTCTGTTCTTGGCACCTGCGGGCCGGAGACCCTTTCCAACGGCTACCACAGAGTAAGGAACCCCTCCCCCCCCCCCCAATTCTTTGTGTCCTGTTTGTTCCCTGCAGCCCATAGTTCTTCACAACTGCAAATTGCTCTCAGCCTGTCTTGACTTTGACAGGAACGATTTTATTACTGGTAGCACGGATATGACACCTGACAATATAAGGCAAGGTGTAGATACACAAAATAAATTTATAGAGATCACTCAGCCTGAAGGCATCTGACCACCCTTATCCAGCCTGTTCCTGCTAAATTCTTCCTTCTTCAGCTGTTCAGGAATTGCCAAGGCCAATTGTCAAATTCTTTTTACCCAGCTACCAGAAATAAGTGTTTTGCTGAAATTTCAAGTCTTAATGGACAAAATACTTCATTTTTCTGTTTTCTACCTCTTGCCAGATGTATCATTTTTGGAGAACCAGAGCTCATTTATCTCCAAGGGAGAAAAAAAGTCATTCCATATTTACTGGTTAGCAAATTACCACTGAGAGTAAAAATACAGAGGAACTCTCACTCTGTTAATTAATGGGTTATTCGCCTTGGCTGAACCCTGGCTGATGGACAGCCACTGTTCCCTTCAAGTTGGCTTAATTTTCTCTCGTTGGTTTTTGTTTCCTTCTTCGTTTGATTCTGCTTTTGAGGACTGTGCCTGTATCCTTTGGGTCTATTTGTTTTGTAGGCCGATCCAGTTAAACCCCTAGCATTTATTGAGGAACCTGTCGTATCGGGTACTGCGGATTCCCCTGAAATCCTCCCGGCATGGAAGTTGGATGGAGTCACTTGTGCTGACTCTCCTAACCCATTGGTTTTCTGCTGTGTAGATGGGGCATGAAATAGCCATCTATCAAGAGATAGCGCCATGTCAGAAACTGAGGCTGGGTTCTGTAGTCACGGAGACCTGGGCCATACAGCAGTGCGATCTGGGGCACCTTCCTGTCTCTTCTGAGTCCTGCAGCCCTCACTATAGATCCTGATGGGAACAGCAGAACTGTCTGTTCTTCTGTACTTTGCTGTTCTCCATAACAAGATGGAGCCAAACAGGCAGTGAAGAGTCTGGTCTGACCACGTGATGTTGGTACAAGCTACAGACAGCTGTAAGAAGGTTTTTGGGGCCTGGGCATTTAGGTGGCATTTACTATTGTATTTGACACGTGTCACTTAGTTACAGGGATAAACCCTCTTGAACACACATGAAGTTCTGGACCTGATGGGGCATTAATTACATCTCACCTCATTTTGATTCTTTTTACTCAGGGTGCTTCCTACTAGGAAATGATCAAAGAAAAGCCAAAAGTCCCCTTGATAGCATTACGCCAATGTCAGTTTCCTGGTGCTGATACCATGCCGTGGTGACGTACAATGTCACCCCCATGGGAAGAAGATGAAGAGGACAGGAGACAAATTTTTGCAACTTCCCGTGGGTCAATAGTTATTTCAAAATAAAAAGTTTAATGAGAGAGAGAGAGAGAGAGAGAGAGAGAGTATGGAATGGCAATTGGAGAAATGGGTGCTCGCATTGGTTTTTACTTCCTGGCTGAACAAACATTTACATTTTGTTTGCCTCTTCCTCCCCTTTTTTGCATCTCGATCTTGTGAGCAGTCAGCCATAAAAGGGCTCATTTTTCTGTAGAAGAGAAAAAGGAAGCAGAGGGGCCAAGAGAACCCCTGCCAACATTGGGTTAGAAGGCCTACTTCCTGTCTTTCCCCACTCTCTTTACCTACACAAACTTACCTTCTGCAATCACAGTCCCGTCGTCCTTCCTTCCCACTTGAGAGGAGATACCTACAAGTGAGCCCCTCCACCTACACGAGGTGTCCATCCCTTCCTTGTGTTTCCAGAGCTCAGTCCTTGTACGTAATCGCCCCATGTGAGTTCCTTCTAACCCTGGTTTAATAACCACCTGTCTGGCAATAGCTTCCAACTTTATATGTCTGCTCAGACTTTTACGCTGAGATCCACACCTATGTATCCAACCCCTGACTAGGAATCTCCACCTAGATGTTTCCCAAGCCTTTCAAACTCCTTCCAAATTATCTTTTTCCTCCGATGGTCCCTTAACTCTGAGAATGTTATCACCGTCTACCGTATCATCAACAGCAGAAATGGGAGAGCCATTCTGGACCCACACTGGTCAAATATGGTAGCTGCCAGCCACGTGTACTATTCAGTACTTCAAATACGGTCGGTGCAAATTAAGATGGGCTGTAATTATAAAGTACACACCAGAGTTAGTCCAGTAAAAAAGAATGCACAATATTTCAGTAGTACTTTTTATTGATTTCATGTTGAAATGATAGTATTCGGGATATATTGTGTTAAATGAATTATTAAAAATGAGTTGTTTTTTTTAATGTGCTACTGAAATATTTAAAGTGGCATATGTGGCTCGCATTTGTGGCTTGCGTATTTCGGCCGGAGAGCGCTGCTCTAGACTCCTTTCTGCCTCTCAGCCACCGCCAGTTAGTCGAAGTAATACACCAGGGACAATATTAGTGAAGTGCACAGGCTGAATTTGAATTCTGGCCCTGCCGTATCTCGATACACGTGAACTTGGGCAATTTTGTTGCCTCTTTGCTCCCGAGTTTCCTCATACGTCAGATGGGTATAATAACAGGACTTACTCCTCAGGATCTTGCAAGTGTTAAATGAGATAACACGTAAAGCACTTACCCTGGAATCAAAACCCAATGTCAAGAGAAGGAGCACAGTCTCTCACTGTCAGATTTCAGGCCCTCACCGTTTCTGACCACTGCATTGGTTTGGCTGTCTGGAGTTCCACCTCGCCCTCCAGTCCTTCATGCTGCACCAGACTGAACATTTCGGAATGCAAATGTTAGCAACCCTTTCAGTGATTCCTCCTCACCCTTGGCATAAAGTTCAACGTCCTTGGCAGGCTGTGCAAGGCCCTTCATGATCTGCCCCCCCCCCCCCAATCACCAATCCCATCTCACACCAATCCACTATGGTTATAATGAACCAGATGGTCTCCCCAACTCCTATTTACATGGATCATTCCCTCCATCGGTGATGTATGTGCCCTCGGCCTGTCTGCAAGGCTCAGTTTACTTGTCATCTCACTCGGGAAGCTCCCCCTTGTCTCTCCTGCACCTGTACCCTTCCCAGGGGGGTTAGGAACTCTCCTCTGGCCTCCTCAACCACTTGAGATTTGGCTCACTTGCTTGGTCAACTTGTGTGTCTTTCCATCAAGACTGGGAGCCAGCTAAAGTCTAGGACCGCTCTCTAATCCACTCTGGATCCCCACGGAGCACAATGACTGGCACAAAGTGCGGCCCAGTAGATGTCTGCTGAGCGAATGCATAAAGCATAGGAGATAGTCCCGAGAGAGGTAAGGAGAGTGAAAGCCCGGTGAGGTCAAGCAGCAGAAAATCTGAAGACCAGACTGAGGAGAAATCACCACTCCTCGGCCATGCAGACAGAGTTAGCAGAGAAAAGGGTCTGGACAAGTAGTCAGTAATGGAGGATTAGAAATAAAAGAGAATAAAAAAGAGAAGATCAAGAGGGGAACAGAACCCCATTTGGTACCACTGGGGGTTCAGTAGCTTCCTCTACAGTGGCCAGGAAGAGGCAAAGCTCTAGAAAAGCACAAATCATATTTAAAAATAATAATAATAAAAAAAGGATGATGTATCAGCAACCAATTCAAGGATTATTTGTCATCGGGACTAGAGACACAGATAATATAAGTAAATGTCAACCTGGTGACCATGTGACAGGACTACTAATAATTCACTGGGAACGGTGCCCAGGAGGTTTTTTTTTTTTACTGTGGTGCAAATGCCAAGCGTGGAAAAACTTGACAAGTTATAGATACGGGAGAGCAGATAGTGAATTTGAGAATAACGATGTGAAATGCCAGAATAATCGCAAGCATCTGAATACGTAAGAAGGCTTAGAGGATTCCTGCTTTAACACAAATATGGATTACAAGAAAATTCACTTACAGAAACTGAAATTCCAATCTCTAAAACCCACTTATCAAAACACGTAGTATTTCGGAACGCGTAACAGGAAGAGCGTGCTTTTTGGCCCACACAACATTG